GAAGGATATGGTAGGTAGGAAATTCAGCACAACGATTCCTGCAAAACTTCTTTCTGATGCACGTTAGCAAAGTTAAGAAATAACACTTCCAGAGGGACACACAGGAAAGCATGGTAAGAGCAAGCTTAAAAAAAGATTCACATTATCCTCTCACGTTCTAACAAGGCATTCTTAGTGAGGCACAACCACTACACACGGAGACCTTCAAAGCCTTTCACAAATTGTATCTAATTAACTTCATCATATTATAGTAATAAATGTATTACCATTGCTATTAAAAAAAAAAAAAGAAACAGGGAATCAGAAATGCTTTGCACAAGATCAAAGATATCTTTGCACAAGGTCAGAAATGATCTTGATCAAAAACAAGATCGAGATTACAACACAGAACTTCAAGTGCCAAAGCTCTGTACCAAAGCGAGTGGAGCCCTTCCACTATAGCCAGAGCCCTTGTGCAAAGGCGCAGATGACAAAGGTACAGATGTCAACAGCAAAAACTAGTATACAAAACCAGAAAAATACAAGCGAGATTGCTTATTTCCCTAAGTAGACACTCTTAATCCATACTCATTTCAGTTTTCCGCAAAATCCTGTGAAACATAGCAAGGGTCTGTAGCGTGCAGCACATTATGCACGGACAACATAATTTATTTTTCCTGCAAATTCTTGACACCTAAAGAAATCTAAAATGAGCTATTATTCTAGTCACTTAGATTCCAGTACTTTAGCTTGGAGGGGGAACCTTCTCCTATCAATTTAGGCTGCTTTACTTTAATTAATTATATTTTACAGCAGATGTTCAATATTATTTTTTTATGTTAGAAAATAGACTTGGATGATTTGGGAAGAGTTCCTCCAACGAACTCAGTAGAGTTTCAGCAACCGAATTTATCGCTGCAGCAAAGATCCACATCTTACCAATGGCCATAGCTGGTTCCCCTATAGGGTTTCAGCATTTTAGAATATGGCTAGACCGCAGTAAGTTCAAGGAGACTAACATTTTGTCACCACTTCACATAAGAATGCAGTATTCTATTAAGTGACCCCATGGATAGACTTAATTTTTGTCACTGAGCTTTCATTAAAAAACAAAACAAAACAAAACAAATTAAAAAATCAAACAAAACCCCCCACAAAACAAAAAAAAAACCCCAAACACTCACAGAATTTTGCAATGGATATGTACCTGGATATGTATCATACTCAAAATGCAGTTCACCTAGCACTCAAAGTATTAGTGGATATATTTTTGGTAAAAAACTAAATTTACTGTACATTGCAGGTCATTAGAGCTCTCATAATTACTTATTTACTTCTATACACTACAAATAAAGAAACAAGTTATTTTAAGAAGTGTTTGTGAACTTGTACAATTTCATAGGTACACTACATCCATCCAGGATGCTCAGATCTGCATTTTATTTCCATGAGGAAGATTCAGGAGGAAGCTCTACCATTTGCTTGTCTGCTGCATGATGCTAGAGGCTGTAACTGAGCAGCTAGTAAGAGTGTAAGTTGAGTTTGCCCAGTCCTGTCAACGGTTGGAGAGGTAGCTGTGTTATACAGTGAACAAAATCAACATGGCAGCTCTGAGTCTTTAAACTGGGATGACAAGAACGATTGAGCCATTTATAATATCTCCTGGCTGAATTTCAGAAAGGACTGGGCTCTGATTACTTATTTCAGAGTCTTTTGTACAATTAGTTTGCAGGCAATATAATTTTCTCACTTACTCCTTAATAGAATCGTGCAGCTAGCTGGCTGGTAGAGTAACAGTGTATATGTAAAACTCCTGCCTGCAGTGCCAGGGGATAATTTGTATATTCCTTTCAGTAGCGTAATGGACTTTTACAGTTTGGCAGTTAAAGGGCTGAGTAACGTAAATTAGTATGACGTTAGAAAATAAAAATATATGTCAAATCTTCACTCCCCAAACACATTGCCCTGTGCTATAATAATACAACAGGATTTATGCCAGCCTGATTCCCTTTTCTCTCCTCATGCACTGAGGAATGTTTATTTAAAAACAGTTCCTTTTTTTTACTAATTTGTTAAATTTTATTATCTCAGCCAAAAGATGAGAAAATAATTCTAGCACACTGTGCCTATCAAGATCAACTGACTCACTATAAATATGATGCCATTTGATCTTGAGATAGCAGGTGAACTGCTAAAACTTACGCTGCATAACCACCTCTCTGGTTTTAGATGTTTCAGGGTGTCAGATCTTTACACACAGCTTGAGGATAAGTGGGCCAAGATACAATTTTTTTCATCTCACAGATGAGGTTTGGAGGTTACCTGAATGAGACACGGAGTCATAGTACAGTTTTAATGGTACAGGGACTTACTCGATGGCTTTACAAGCCAGGCAATCGACTGGATTTAGCCAAGATTCTTGAGACATTCTGGCCACTTCTTGCATGGAAGTGACAGCAACACTCAAGGTAACAGAAGAGGAGGAAGGAGAATCATGACAAAGAAGAGGCCACTGAAAGCACTGGGCTTTATGTCTTGGCATCTTATCACAAATGAAGTTATTGTCATCAACAGTTACAACTTTATAACCTCACAGATACCAAGAGTGTGAAGCTGGCTCTAGAAACTGGCTCCAGTCTGTGGGCCAGGCTGAAACAGGGTTCTATCCTTCAGAAATACTGACAAGAACATAAGCTGCAGACAACAATCCTTAATAGAAGCTTTATTTCCCTTTTCACACTGTGACATTTGATATTATAATACTAAGGATGTAAAAGGATGGCTATGAGCTATTGGAGTATGCTCAGAAAATCTTTGGGCAAGTAAAAGACATGAGGAAGACTGAGATAGAGGGTGAAAATGTGTTTGGAAAGAGTAGCTAAGAGAAACTTACAAAAGCAAGAGGAACGCTGAAGATAGCAGTGTTGAAACTTTTACTATGTGGGAATGTAGGTCCAGAAAGGAAAAAAGAAAACCAACAGAGGGGAATTAATTACTCCTTCAATGTAATAATTTTATGCTATAATCAGCTCATGAAACTGTATTTCAGTATTTATAGTCAATATTGCCCCATCATTTTTCTCCCAAACTTTCCCTTTGAACTTCTGTAACCTAACACCTTGTTTCAAAACCGTGTATTTAAAAAGCAAGTGTTCTCGTTATTCTTTACAGAGGCCACT